CTGCACCCCCTTCCGAAGGGCCAGTTCGGTGGCGTAACCTTGGGGTTGGGGTATGGGCCTCAGGTCCAAGGCTTCCTCCCCCAAGCATTGCGTCTCTCACCAGCCCCCACCCAACTTCTCTCACCCAGGTAAGAGTCCCTCATGTCCATGTGCTCCTGAGACATGTTGATGAATGTGGGGCTCCCCTTTGGGGGGTACAGGAAGGCACCTCCAGACCAGCTGTAGCTCCCGACAGCCCCCAGAACGGGTCCATCCTCAGAGGGCAAGATTCCAAGTCTGAGTAGGCTGGAGCGAGGGCACAGCCTAACCCAAGAAGCACCTGCTCCACACACCCATCCAGTGCTTCCCACCCTCGACCCCTCCCATCCCACGTCATCTCCTGAAGGGCCGTCACTCACGGGCGTGAACACAGCACTGAAGCCCTCCTGGGACATCTCCAGTTCAAAAGAACTACTGCTCATGGTCTCTGTACCTAGGTAAGGAAGCCATGATGCCCAGGTTTCCAGCAAGAAAGATGAGCCGTGCCAGGTCCAAGAAGGGTTCTTAAGAAAACGTTGAGATCGGAAGCCAAAGGCTGCAGAAGTGTTCGTGCCAAGCTTTCTGAAGTGCGTGCTCTGTCTCTGACTTACCCTCGATGGCAAAGATCTTCTCCTTCAGCTGGTTTTGAATGGCCTTCAAAGCGTCAAAGTTCTCCACTTTAAAAATGTAGGAGGGATTCGACGCAATCTGATTTAATTCATTCAGGAAATCTTTAATTTGAAAAGCCTTTCCAACCTGTAACCAGCAAAGACCAACGCAGTGAAAATAATAAATGTGGTGTTCCTGTGTCCTGGGTGTTGATAACCTCTGAGACTGCTGCTGGGACAATCTCACAACGCAGAGGAGAAAAGGGAGGATCAGATAGCATGGAGGAGTTTAAGGAACGGGATCCTGGGTCCCCGGGCCAGCGCAGAGTTGTCATCCTGAATGCAGTAGGAGACGGGGAGCTGGGGACTTTTAGCCAGAAAAGGGAAGCAGACTTGAGAGGAAGAGGCAGGAGGACATGGTGGGCAGGCACCCTTGCTCCGCCCCGGCCCTACCCCAATTGCGTAGCGGATAACGCCTGCTGCCTCCGCCATCGGGATCACATCCTTGTACTCCAGCGGGTCTCCTTGTTTATGGCCATCAGTGATGACAATCAAGACCTTAGTGGCATCCCCGCGGGCCCCACTTTTGGTGGTGAACAGTTGAGTCCTGTCAGAAGAGAAGCACGTCCAGAGGTTTATGAAGAAAGAAGACTGGCCTCTGATACCTTTGTGAGAATGAAGACCTGGCCGCTTCTGGGAGGCCTCTGTCCCACCGAGAGGTTCCCAACTTGGCGAGAGGGGCACTTACTAGATTTTGGTTTCTGCCCAGGAGGCCTCTGTCCCACCGAGAGGTTCCCAACTTGGCGAGAGGGGCACTTACTAGATTTTGGTTTCTGCCCATCCCTTTCTTGGGAAGGTGGTGAGGCCTAAAGGAGGAGCTGGGTTCTGGGGAAAGGGAGAGAGGGCTCACATGACGTTCCTGATGGCCGTGGCTGTGAAAGTGTACCCTCTTAGCTGGTGCACAGAGTCCAGCAGTCTGACAGGGTCTGAACTGGAGGTGAAGTCATTGAAAGTGAAGTGTATCTGGGATCGACCTGCGAACTGCACCAGAGAAACCTGGGAGACCCACACAGGACCAGGGGCTGAGCTTACTGTGCTGTGGCCCCCAGCGCTTCCACGGCAAGTGTCCCCCCAGCAAGGCCAGACAGCCTTGTCTCCCTCCCCACGGGCACACCTGGGTGCTGGGTCTCTGGAACTGGCTCATCACAGACTTCACAAAGTTTATCATTGTGGCAAAATCTCTAGAGCTGATGCTGCCAGAGCCGTCAATCAGGAACACGATGTCCTGATCCTGCCTTGGGCATTCTAGAAAAAGCAGTGGCCCTGGTCCTTCAAGGGCACTCCCAAGAGCCCAGGACCTGAGCCTCCTGGCCCAAGAACTCACTCTCCCAGCACCCTCCCCCCACCCAGGTTCCCTCCTAGTCAGGACTTTCCTAAACACCTGCCCCAAACAGCCCTGAGTCTCCTGGTCCCCTAAGAGGCTGCTGTGACTGAGCTCCTCCCTGCCCACCCCTTCACACACACACACACACACACACACACACACACACACACACACACACGCGCCCGAGCGCACGCACGCACGTGTGTTCAGCCAACCTGGTTGATTGAAAAAACAAGGAAATGCTACCCCCATCTAGATAAGAAGCTGAGGGTCCCCTCTTCCTGAGCCCACTTTCCCCCAATACCCTCAGCATCCAGCAAGGTAAAGACCTGGTGCTAGCCTGGCCAGTGTCTGTCCTCACAGGT